GGCCCCCAGGCCTTCGGGCAGAGCCAGGATTTGATCTCTTTCCTGAAGGCCATGAGGGAGGGGGCACACCGCACCTCATTATCTCACCGCATTATCTCATGATCCTTTTCCACAAGGAGAATTGCCCATCTGTGTTGCTTTCCTTGAAAGCTGATCCCACATGGAAAATTTCTGACCAAGAAGGATATAGTTAGATGCCTTGAGACTGTCAAAACACCAGACCATCACTTGCAGAATAATGTTATCAGCTAATGCCACTGTTCCAATACTGGAGATATATTAAACTGCAATATGGAAGATAACACCTGGGCATTTTTCCTCATTTAAAACTGGGATGTTTTCCCAATCCACAAAGTACATTAAGCTCCGCTTAGCATTAACCAGAGCTTAGAGACTAACCTGCTGATCATCCCACATCCCATTCACCTTGGCCAAAGCCAGAGATCCCTGCATGTTTTGCCTAGGACATTGCTGCTTGGCACATTGTTATTGGTATATGTTTTATTACTATTATTTGCAAGCAAGCCAAAAAAACCCCAAGCCCATCACTGACTACTGTAAAAAACACAAGAAAATCCGTGAGAGGCCAATCCAGACTGGATCCACTCTGTGTGGATTGTGGTGGGAGAATCCTTTCCCAGCCCTTCTCTTTTCAAAACAAAGTTCCTTTCTACCATGCAAATGACAAAGAGAGTGCATGGTGCTGCAGGAGCAGTTCATCTTCGTGGCTGATACTGCATCTAAGTTTGTTTCATAAGAGAGCTAATGTCTGCTTGCTTCTAAGTTAGCCAATAGTCTTGGTTTTGACACCATGCCAGACTACACCCTCTCCTCGTTTAGCAACAGCAGTCCATTCCTTAAACTGGAAGCAAAATGGTTGCTAAGCGAACACATGACTGAGAGATGCTGCAAAGATCACTGGTTGCTGCTGTCGCATTCAGATAGTTTTCTGTACAGTGTCTTGTGCCTGATCTGTTTTTTTCCCTTTTTTTTACCCCCTCACAGGGCAGAGAGATTGCTTAAACAAGGTATCTCTTCCTGAGGTGCTTTTCTATGCAGCAGCACCACAAGTTAACAAGCTCAGCTCTGTGACCTTAATTAGTTGATTAGAACCCTCTCCCCTTCTCACAGCTGCTGCCTGAATCTGACCAGACCTTAATTCTTTTCACAATGAAGGTTTTTGTTGTCAGGTGCCTGAAATTTGATCTTAAATGTGCACATTGGTCAACAATTGATTTTGTTAAGATTACCATCGTATTTACGAATGGTCGCTTAAATGAGGTAGTTGCTAAACAAGGCATGGCTAAAGTTGACCCACAACAAATTACAACTATTGATTAGAGTTAATGTATTTTTCCTTAATCAAACATTGTTCCAGAGTCTGGATTTAGAGGAGTTGGAAAACCAAAGTATGGAATAACTTCAGAAGAACATGTATGTTGAAGCTGCTCCAACCTTTTGACTTGTGTACATTGTCATCCTTGGATATAAATATTTGCTTATGGGTTTTTTTTTGGTTCTTTGTTTTGGCAGGTATGATAATGAATATGGGTACAGCTGCCGTGTAGCAGATCTCCTGAAGCACATGTACAGCAAGGAGGAGATGTGAACCCCGAAACCACATTGCATTCCAGGCTATTCAATAGAGGGCCTCAACCACTTTTACTCAATAGGTTCTTTGCTTCAACCACAGAATCCCGAACACTGCACTTTGTGTCTTACTGTAAAGCTTTGTGTGTACGTGTGTGTGTGTATCCATGAGCGTGAATCCTGCTTTCCACAGCAGCTTATATAGTGAAGACAAATTGCACCAAATTCCTCCCTGGAGAAGGAGTCTAGCCTCCGGGGTTATGCATTGGTTTGTGTGGCTGTAGCGTCTTCAAGATCTTGCAAGTGTTGAAATAAAAACCACTGGAGTTAACGTGACCTTGATTGTATCCACGTGATCCTAATATCTCAGGGATTTGGAATTCTTGCTCTCGATCGTGCCAGATGATTGTGCTTTGTGTGTTTGAGCATTGAAAAATGCCACTTCTCTGGGAACTTTTGTTGTTCTTTGATTTACATTCGTGGATGATTTTTCTTGTAAGAAAAATTCACGTGCGTTATGCAAACACACAGTGACTATAGTAATTGATATTTTGAACTTATTGGAGGTCCAAATGGGTTAGAAAGGCTAAGCAAATGCCTCCTTCTTAGTCATTCTTTTTGGTGGTGTGGAATGGATTTCTCCCGACCGTAATAGGTCATTTTTCTGAATGGAATCATTCAGTGCATGCAGAAGAAAGAACTGTTTGGAGGTACAGCAGTGATCATTCAAATTTTTTTAAAGAAAAACACTGTTTACTCAAAGCATAATGTATACTTTATATACTCAAAGTATAATGGCAAGTGTCTGATGGAGAAAGTCTCTTCCAATCAGTATGTCTTTACAGTAGGAATCAAAAGGGACCCTAGAGATAATTTAGTCCAGATGTTACTGAGATGTAGCTCCCAGCATTGTTTTCACGCCATCAAGTTCTGCAAGACACTTGAGAGGAGACTTCTAAACTCCAAGCTTCTTCAAAACTTGCTTAATACTGTAAGAATGCCAAGCTATTTTACTTAAGAGAATGGGAACTTGGCTTCTAGATTTGCCTTATTGCTAACGGTAATATGTTTTCAGGTTTTGTTGATCTTATCTGTGGTGTACTGGCTTCCTGGACCGTGGGCTAATTCTACCACACACACAACTTTGGTCTATTATAGGAAGAGAAGGGTGTTGCCTTAACTATTGTTAAGGAGCAGGAGATTGGAAATACTCAATGTATTTATGCGTTTAAGCCATTTACCAGTCCAAAATGCCTTTCTGGAATAAATGCATCCCTGAATCTCTGGAAAACACTTCTCATTACCCACAGCCAGCAAGCATTCCAGTTGGAGAAATCTGGTCTCTGAGTTTTCATCAATCACAACATTCTCTATACTTTTTAAAAAATTTTCCTTGAAATGGTGAGAGAGAAAAACAAGAAGCAATAGAAATCAAAAACACTTTTTGGATGTTGGAAAGAATAATAAATGGTCTTCCTTGGCGCAAAGAACTGAACTAGAATTTTGGAAGCTGCCTTCCAAAATATTGGCAGTGTTTGCATGACATACTTAATCTTGTTACTGAAGTAAGGCTTTTTCTGGTTTTACATAAGAGATTGAGCCATAAAGTAATGGGCTGGGGTCACCCACACACATTACTTACAAGCAATTTTTCAACGTCAGATGTGAGTGAGGAGGCTCCAAAGTGCAGCTTGATTTGTTTCAAAAAGGCTCCAGGGAGAAGTATTGATTTATTTCATTTCCAGACCACCAAATATTGCTATTCCCACCGGCTTAGGTTAACGAAACAAAACCAAGAATACAAGTAAACCCTTCTAAAAATGACAGCATGACTAAAATTGCAGTCAAGAACAGCAACAATCCTAACCCGAGGCCTCTGGTCCTGCAAGGTCTCCTTCATTGAAGGGTCAGAGAGAATCTCTCTGCAGCAGGATTACACCTAAGGAAAAGCTAATACCCCGTAGAGCTCCCAGTGGCTTCAGCGAACATTTGGTGCCTTGAGCTTCGGAAAGGCTTGTCCGAGTGGAAAGGAACAACGCTGCTTCCTTTGTAGCTAATAGTATGGGCTCGCCGACTCCTTGCGGATTCCAGAAAGGGGGTTGGGGGGACAAGAGGAAGGAAGGGAGAAGAGAGGGAGAGCAGAAGCCGATTTGCCGGGTCCTAGGACAGATAGAACGAGCATCTTTCTCTTTCGTTCATCAGATGGGCAATGACTATTGCTGAAGCACTTAGGGCAGTGTTTCTCAACCTTGGCGGCTTGAAGGCGTGTGGACTTCAACTCCCAGAATTCCCCA